GGCCCCCTTTAGCCTTTTATCATAAATGCACAACCAATTTTTTCCCTCTAGGAGGACTCCTTGGAAGTGAGGACCTTGTAGCATCTTCTCCCATTCCAACTCTTCACTGCAGCCCTCCTCCCATGAATTAGGCAGCAACTACGAAGGGCTTGAGCTCTTTTCCCGACAAACAAAAGCCTTTGAAAACAGCAAGAGGGGTTGGGGTTAGAACTGAGAGAGGACTTCCAAACTGCTTCAAACTGCTTGTAGCAGATGGCCAGAAAAGGCTTTAGATAGTATATTCTTCCTTTTTCTTTTCTTTTCTTTCTTTTTTTTTTTTTTTTCGAGACAGACTTCCACTCTGTCGTCCCTGCTGGAGGGCAGTGGCACAATCTCAGTTCACTGCAGCCTCCTCTGCCCCCTGGGTTCAAGCAATTCTCCTGTCTCAGCCTCCCAAGCAGCTGGGATTACAGGCGCCTGCCACCACACCACACCTAGCTAATTTTTGTATTTTTAGTGGGGACGGGATTTCACCATGTTGGCTGGGTTGGTCTCAAATTCATGACCTCAGGTGATCCGTTCACCCAGTCCTCCCAAACTGCTGGGATTACAGGTAGGAACCACTGTGCCTGGCCATGTATTCTTCTTAAAGACCCCTCTGGAAAGTATCTATCATGACCTAAGGGAAATGCTGTCCGCAAAAATATGTGGGAGCATGACTGCGTGTGTGATGTGACTGTGGGGAAAAGCTGGAGATAGTTCCTCTAGGCATCAGGATAGACCAGAGGACTTGACAATGTTGTTGGGTATCAAGTAAACTCTTGTTTCCTCCTCTGCCTGAGAAGAAATCTGTTGAGTGGTATGAGAGGAGTCAGGGAAGTTGGCTTTCTCAGTCAGCTAGTGAGTTGGAAGACTAAGTGAACTTCAAAAGCAGGGTCCATGGCGGGGAGGCAGCAACCAGCCCTCTGAGTCACCCTGACCTGGCTACAGAGCTGGGCCGGAATGTCTGCGCCGGCGAGGGGAATGGGGATGGTGGTGGGGGTGGCGATGAGTCACCAGCGGGGACTGGAAGAGCAAGCAAACCCCAGATGCTCTTCTGCTGTTACAGTTCTCATTCCTGAGGGCCCAATCAGAACCCGGGAAGGGCTGGGAAATGGGACCTGGGGTTCTCTTGCGATGGTGCTGCCCATCACCCCTTCTCTGAATCTCACTCCGTTGATTACCTTACTCCTGTAACTCCTCAGAAACCCCCCAACCCAACCCAATACACTCTTTCTTTTTGTTGGCGGGGAATGGAGTCTCGCTCTGTCGCCCAGGTTGGAGTGCAGTGGAGCGATCTCAGCTCACTGAAACCTCTGCCTCCTGGGTTCAAGTGATTCTTCTGCCTCAGCCTCCCAAGTAGTTGGGACTATCAGCATGCGCCACCACACCCAGCTAATTTTCATATTATTAGTAGAGACAGGGTTTTACCATATTGGCCAGGCTGGTCTCGAACTCCTGACCTCGTGATCTGCCCTCCTTGGCCTACCAAAGTGCTGGGATTACAGGCGTGAACCACTGTGCCTGGCACCCACACACTCTTTCTACCTGTGTGGGTGTTGGACTAGTTGGGGTGTACTCCTGATCCCCATCCCCTGTGTCCTCTCTGACCCCTCACATGGCTAGCAATTCTCCACAGTGAAATTGGAAGAGGCAGGCTCTGGAATTAGCCTCCCCACCCCCAACAGCAAACCTGCACAGAACTCTGCACACCAGGGTGCTTCTCCTTATGGTGTGGACAGGCTGGCTGAACTGCCAGTTGGATTTATTGAACGATTTTGATCAAGTCCAGCAAGCCCTTCCAATCCTCAGAAACTTCCTGGGGTCATCTTTTCAATTTCCTGCCTCCCAATATGCCTTTTGGGGGAGCTGTGGAACCCCCTAGGAGTCTGGCTTCATCTCTGATCTCCCCTGGCCCTCCCCACATGTTCTGTTGCTTCTGGGGAGTGTGGAACTTGCAGACTTGAGCAGGAGCTCTGGGCTTGGGGGCCCTCCCCTTATTCCCTGTTCCTGCCTGTCCTGCTCTTCCCTGCCTACAGGGTCCAGGCCATATTCTCTCTTGTCTGTCCACTGCAGAGCATGAGGGCCAAAGATCAAAGAGAAATTGGGATGGGCTGCAGAGAAGGGGATGGGGTGGGGACTTAAAGAACACTGGCTTGTCCAGGCACGGTGGCTCATGCCTGTAATCTCCGCACTTTGGGAGGCCGAAGCGGGCAGATTACTTGAAGTGAGGAGCTCAAGACCAGCCTGGCCAACATGGTGAAACCCCATCTCTACTAAAAATACAAAAATTAGCCGGGCATGGTGGTTCTCGGCTGCAATCCCAGCTACTTGGGAGGCTGAGGCAGGAGAATTGCTTGAACCGGGAGGTGGAGGTTGCAGTGAGCCAAGATCGTGTCATTGCACTTCAGCCTGGGAGACAGAGTGAGACTCTGTCTCTAAAAAAATAAATAAAATACAGTACATTGGCCTTCAGAGCAGCCCACCCCAAAACAAATCCAGAGTACAAGGCAGGGGCTCATGGCTGCTGGAGCCCATCAGAGTCTTCCTTGACTCCAATCTGGCCCCAGACTCAGGGTTCTCAGGGAATGCTGTCCACTGTTCTTGGATACCGCTGCCTCCAGGCAGGAGGTAGGTTTGGACACAAGCCCTTCTGAGCTCATTAACTTTGTTGCTCAGCAGAAAACAAGATCACAAGCAGCCCCCACATCTCCCTTGGAGGTCAAATCTGAATCGATGTCTAATCTCTGCCCATTGGTAGCTGGGAGATGGAATCTGGAGAGCTTGCTATGGGAGGAGTTTTTCTAGATGATGAAGAATGGGTGGGTATGCGGAGGAGGTTTCCAGGAGGCAGAGGTAAGTGACGCTCCTAGTCCAGGTACCTCTCATCCCACACACACACTTAATTTCATGCTGAATCTGCTCCTAGGCTAGGGTGTTCACCTGGAAAGGAAGGTGGCCTTCATTAGGACCTGGAGCTAATAGGCAGAGCATGAGCTTTTCTGTTTATGGTCCCAAGTACCCATGGCGGCGGCAAAGGAGGAGCCTGGAAAGAAGGTCTTGGAGTTCTGCCAAAAATGCAATCTGTGCCCTGCCCCTTCTAAACTGAGAGCCCCTATGGACAGAGTCATGTGCTAAATACTTGGAGAAAGGCAAAGGGAGTATCCCAAGGAGTCTCCAGTCTGAGGGGGAGACACAGCCCTTAGCCTCAGAAAGCCTCAGTGTGCTGGGGGGCATCGCCTCCAGCTCTCATCCTCTTCTCAGAGAGCCCCCAGGCAGATCAGGGACAGAAAGCCCCTGCCTTGGAGGGGTTCCTGTATAATACAGAGAGGCACAGCATAACTCCAGGGTCCTCACTCTGATAGAAGAGACAGGATGACATACTTCTCTTGTACAGGACAGTAGGACATATGAGGAGAGGGGCTCCAAAATCTCTATGGATAGAGTTGTAGCTACCCCACCCTCCTCTGAGCCCCCGAGGTACAAACATGTCTCTTTCTCCCCCTGTATCCTGCCCTGAGCAGGAAGACAGCTTGAATGTACGTTCTCACTTTATGCAGCTGTCACTAGGAAACCCCCATCCTTCATGTTCCCTCAATGTTCTTGAGCCCTTGGGACACCTCTCTAGATAATGTGATGGGGGCATTGCCACATCACCAAAGCCATGGGCCACTGTCCAGAGTTGGGGTTCAGATGACTGTGGACCTACTCTCTCCCACCCAGAAGTAGCCTATTGCCTTGTGGGAGTGTCCCCCTGCCAGTTAGTGCCACCCTACCCCAAGTCTGTCCTCACTACAAGTACCCTTTTTTTCTTTTCTATTCTTTTTTTTTTTT